TCTTTCTTAGGAGGAATAGTGAGGTTCAAGAAATTGGAATCCCATTTTTTCCGTCAAGAAGTCGAGAAGGTCTATGAGATAAGTTTTTGGATTTTTTTTTAGATTTGATTTGTGATTTGTGATCTAATATTTTTCGTCAAGAAGTCAAGGAGTCCCATCTTTTGTGATATAATATTTCATTATGTTCATCTAAGGAGATTATTCTACAAGATTGGCGAAGAAACTTGGTCGGAAAACGTGACCAATATTAGAATCCCAAGGGATCTTTCCAAGAATTGTAAGAAAGTGAACGACCTATTTTGAATGCTCATATTTCGGTCTGTGTTGAAGTAAAATTCAAGAATTACGATCTATAACTTTGTTGAAGAAACTATATCGATTTGGATCTGAATTAACAGATATGAAAAAGAGAAAAAATGAGAGAAGTTAAATCGGAAATTAGGAAGACATTCGACTTGATTCGCATGCGTCAATTTAAGAAAATTTGGTTTCCCAATGCGCGCTCCGAATTCGAACCCATGCACTCGTCAGTAGCTGACTCGAGCGCGCCATGTGGCAGCACCAGAACGCACATCCTCCTCCCTCTGGTATAGTCGTATGCGCGCATGGAGTGTTTGGCATGTGGGAGCACGTGCTGCGGCATGTAAGTAGGTTTTTGGCCCGTTCAACTTCAGTTTGCTCGATTTTATCCCGATTTCAATTCTAATCATATTTCTATGTAAACTAGGACCTAATTGAGGAAAAACAATATTTTTAGACACCTTATTTGCGTATAAACGGTAAGTGAAAGGGCACACGTCAACCCTGCAAGTCATCGTACAAATTTATAAAAAGAAATACTTGTAGGGATCGCTTGGATGCATGCATGTTAGTATGTTCATCCTCGATGGTAGCTTTTCTAGGAAATGATTTCCGGTAATATAAGTAGGATGCATAATGTGAAGTTATATGAGAATGTATTCATGTTTTATGCTTCCGCTATGTATGTATTTAATTCATGCTGAAAGAAGAATGATAAATTGTGAATTCTGCGATCTAGGTGTTAATGGATGTTATTGCCACGTTGAACATGTATGTTTATTTTGCATGAATTAAGTATGTTGATTTTAGGCAATCCAATGTATGCACACTCTGTTGTTTCCCACAACCTACTATTATGATAAGTTTAGGGATTTGTGGTCAGAGTCATAAGTCAATAATTATAGACTATCCTTTCCCTTAGGAGCCTAGCATATCACCATGGCAAACGAAGTATCTTAGAAGTGTTTTTAGGCTGCTAGTTTTGTGAACAATATCTATAGCTTTGTAGGGGAACCAGAGGTTCTTGTCAGTTCTTACTACTCCTAGTCGTTTCGCATGGGAAACGTGTGCCCACATCGTACAACCCATTAGCTGCAAGGGATAAAGGAGGGGTCGTGCCCCCCGAATGAGGGGGACTATCATGGACCTAGGAGGTACTCAGTGTCACGGTCATGCTCGTCCAGGGCATGTTTCCATGGCCGCATGCCACGCGAAACCCTTTATTTTTCTATGTTGTATTGCTTTACTATTGTATTTCTAGGTTGTACGACGTTTCAATGAAATCATGTCTAGGTCTGTCAGACCTAAATCGCCTCAAAATATTCTAGAGGGATGCGACTAGTTGTCAAGTCTTCCTACCCGAAAAGTTATATACTGCTTAAGCCGTTGTTGTTGCCTTTGCTTGCATGCTATGTAATATTGATTTCAATCTCTCACTCAATCTTGCTTTCAAACTCTCTTTCAAAATCTCCCTGCCCTCGTTTCTTAAAACTTTCCTCTAGAATCGAGCCTAGAGGCTTGAGCATATGTTGCATGGTGTAGGCGACATCAAAACGAACTGACTTAACTCACTTGTTGCTGAAAAGTGTGTGTCACACAATCGCAAGTCTGTTGCCAAGAAAAGTACAATTGTGACAAGTGGTATTAGAGCTTTGTTAGCTCCTTGACGCATTAAAGACAGAAACCATGTCGACGACAAATTCGGCACTCAAATTACAAGTCGATCGACTTACTTTGGTAGAGGAGGAAATGTTGTTCCTCAAAGAAGTCCCTGACACTGCCAGCTTCCTGAAAGCACGAGTGAAAGAATTGAAAAAAAAAAAGGTTGAGGTAATCCACACAATGGGCAACCGCCTGGATGGGTTGCTAATCAAAGAACTAATATTTATAGTGGACTAAGAAAGAGTTGCTCCTACGAGCAGCTCAAGACCTGTTAGTAGCCCTGATAGCTTTGTCGCGCACAAGGAAGGACGTGGCTAAGAGTTTGACGAGCTATAAAATACCATGATGAAGTTGTTCGATGAAGTTGTTCAATGAATTAGTTGACGAATTCAGAACAGTTGATGCCATCAAGGGAGAGATGGCTGAGATGAACACCCCATTGGAGTGACTATGAAACTCATTCTGGACCTAACAAACTGAAGTTCCCAAATCCCAGAGCCTTCAAAAGGAACGGGATGTCAAAGAGTTAGAAAACTTTATCTTTGATGTAGAACAATACTTTAATGCCACAGGGGTCTGTACCGAAGACATAAAAGTTATGGTAGCCACAATATGTCATTTATCATATATATAGTTTTACTATGTATAACTCTTGACAAAATTAGAAATAACCAGCATCAACCAAAATTTTTATTATCAAATGACCATTAGCATCTTTACGTCACCATACCAATATGGTTTTTTACAACCCAAATTTTTCAACATCAACCTATTTTATCAACATATCTATTGGATTTTTTCCACCCTCTATCTTCTCCAAACACATATCATCTTCTTCTACTGACCTGCGATTAAAATGGTATCGCCTTATGATGTGTTTTGTCTTTGAATGATAGACTGAGTTATTCACTAACTGTACGACACTTTGACAATTTGTATAAAAAATCTTCTTGCTGCTTTCTTGTCTAATTCTTCTTAATAGTCAGTTATCCATATCATCTCCTTTCCAGCTTCAACTATTGCTATATACTCAACTTCAGTTGATGAAAGAGCAACACAATTCTGAAGTCTAGACATCCAGCGAAGAAAAAACTTCTTGAATTAGAAAATGGAAATAAAGGAAAAAAGGAAAACTCATGGCTTGCTCCCACTTAGTTATATCCTCTAATTATAAGACATCATCAAAGGACTCTAGTTTCCTAGTTTGCAACAGATAGTGTAATGAAGGTACATACCTATCTCGTAATCTGATAATTCTGGATGATCTTCTCAATACCAATTCAAGTGTCACTTGCTCCACCTATAATTCCTTAGCAATAGTATCAAAAGTTTCTTGAGTATCTGTTACAACATCACTAGGTGAATTTCTCCACAATTCAACCTGAATTCTCACTTGCGTCGTTGTCTTGAAATCTTTCTTCTCTCACTTAGCTTTGATACTAGTTGTTAGGATCGCACAACAATCTAGATCAATATTTATATTTGCACATGGACGGATTTTGAAAAGATCAAATTTAAGAAATTTATTGGATACATCTTGGAGTTAGATTTATTTGATAGATACATGTATTAGATTGTTTATGTATTACCACAATGATAGTGCATGTATTAGGTAGATTAGTTATTTAATATTTGGTACATGTATGCCTATACACGATGGTTTGAAAGACCTATATAAGAACCAACTATGTACCGATTTTAGATCAACTTAAAAAAGAAGTATTTATTTTTCCAAAAAGAAAAAACAAATTTGATTGTTGAGAGAATTCAACTCCTTTCCCATAAACATTTTATGTTCTCTAACAAAGTGGTATAAGAGTAAAAAAAAATGGCGGAGTTCCAAGAAGATGTCATTGGATAGTGTATCGCTGCCACGTTTGGTGAAGTCAACAACAAAAAGGGAGCATTTAGATGCGAGCCTCGCTTGGGATGCAAGATGTATGTAACGTAGTCGAGGGTGGTTACATCAAACTTGAGGTATTGTTGCCATGTCTGGTGAAGTCAACAAGAACAACCAGAGCATTTAGATGCGAGCATCACTTGGGATGCATGATGTATGGAATGTAGTTGACAGTGATTACATTGAACTCAACGAAATCAGAGACATGAAAGTAAAAAGATGCAAAAACAACCATTGATGAAGGACAAAACCACGTTTTTTATTATTCCAAGCAATTAAAGAGTCAAATTTTGAGAAGATAACAAACATAACAACAAACAAAGAGGAATGAGACATGTTGACAAAAGTCTTCGAGGAGCCAATCGAGTAAAATAAGTACGACTCCAAACAATTAACGTGAATTGGAGGCATTGATAATAAAGGAGTTGAAAGGCATATCCGATTACATCATACATATACAAACTCTAGTGAATTAACTTGGGAGCAATGGTGACACTTTCAAGGAGTTGCGGGTTGTGGAGAAAACTTTGTAGTCACTAACTTACAATTTTGAGAATGTCGTGTGTGCAATCGAAGGGTCGAAGGATCTAAAAGATTAAACGGTTCATGATCTTGCAAGATTGCTAGAGGCACACAAGTTAGGAAGAACAAGAAGAACAAGTCGCAAGAGGAAGCGCTACAAGCCAAAACGTTCATCAAAGACAAAAATGTGTTTTACACGCAAAACTAGCATTGTAGTGGGCGCAACCATGGAGATCAAAAAAACAATCATAGTGTTGGAGGCCACGGTCAAGGTGAATTCTACTAGAAGAATGTGCAGTCAAGCTAAGCCGGTCAAATAATTTGAGTGTCTAGTGATAGCACGAGGGGACTATACAAAAGAGTGCAAATCAAATATCGAGTGATATAATTTTGGAAAATATGAGTAACTTTTAAAGGACAGTTATGCTAAGAAATGGTGGAAAAAAATGAAGAGACAAAAGAAGATGGTGTTCTCATGATGGTTAACAAAAATGTTACTTGTGACGACGACACAACTTTGTATCATGATACCGTGACTAGCAACATGTGTGGGTACAAGCACTTATTCAAGAAAATGTGAGAAGTTAAAAAAACAGATATATCGTTCGAAGATGCATTGAAGATCCAAGTGAAAGGCTAAGGCACGATTTATTATTTACAAGCAGGTGGTTCGAATGCTTCACTAAAGGATGTGAATAATGTACATGGTCTAAAGAGCAACATTTTAAGCTTGGGGCAACTCATGAAGAAATAGTCGATATCAATGAAAAATCGATTGCTGCAATTGAAAGATACTGGAGGGTGTTTAGTAGAACAAGTTGAAATGACGGGAAAAATGTGTACAAGTCGATATGGAGGATAAGTCGATGGTGTGGCATTTGAGGTTTGGTCATCTCCATTTTGGGTACCTTAAAGAGTTGATGGGCATGGACCGAGACAGTGACAAGTAAGGCCACCGCAGAATCTAATTTATTAACAAAAAATATAGATAAAAAATGAGGTAATTAGCGGTAAGATAATATTTTATTTTATTTGAGTACCTTAATTCCATTGGATAACGGTACCTTATTCCATTAGCTAAAAGTAAGGGACTGGAGTAAGCATAAGGGGTGATTTCTTAGCGGCCCCAAGACCAACAGCCTCTTCCATATCAACATCTTCTTCTTTCATTCCATCTGGAAGTTTCCAATCAAAACACAGCAACAGGTTAGCCAGGGCCAACTCCACCACAAGGGTTGCCATATTCATCCCAGGACAAATTCTTCGCCCACTTCCAAACGGTATTAATTCGAAGTTCTGTCCTTTATAATCGATATTGCTTCCTATAAATCTCTCGGGAAAGAACTCTTCTGGGTCAGTCCAAGATTGTGGGTCTCGTCCAATGGCCCACACATTAACGTGAAGATGAGCCTTGGGGTCCATATTGTAACTGTTGAGCTTAAAAGGGGAGATGGTTTCCCTTGGAAGTAGAAGTGGGATTGGTGGATGCAATCTCAATACCTCTTTCACTACCATTTTTAGATACTCAAGATTTTTCAAGTCTATCTCTTTCACTGAATCGTCTTTTACGTAACTTCTAATCTCGTGTTCGAGCTTCTTCATCACTCTTGGATTCCTAACTAGCTCTGTCATGGCCCAAACAATTGTAGCTGCCCCGGTTTCTACTCCGGCTATAAAAATATCCTAACAGCCAAAGAAAAAAAGAAATGAAACATGGTTATATCAAACGGATCAACAGTTTGCTATTTTCCAAAAGAGTTCAGGTTACCATGATAAGTGCTTTGATGCAATCTTGGGTTACTTTTAGTGCATCAGATTCAGAGCTTTCCCTTTCCATTCTCAACAAAACATCAACAAAGTTTTCTTCCTTCTTAGAACTCTCCTTGAAGTTTATACGATCGTCGACTACATGTTGAAGAAAGGCATCCATTTCAGCAAAGCTCTTCTCCAGCCTCTCATGAACACCATTCAACCGATCAATAATCCAACCAAAAGTAGGAATGAAATCGGTCATCGAGAAGTTTCCAGTTGCTGCAATTGCTCTCCGCATAAGATGTTGAAAGTGTTCATCATCTAATTTTCCCCCGCTGAAGATGCTGCCAAAAGCAACTCTTGATGTTATATTTGCAGTGAGAGAATAGGATTTGTCACTCAGATCAATTGGAGCTGAAGAAGAAGAGGATTGAGAGATGGAGTTTAGAAGGCGCCCCACTTCCTCTTCTCTAATTTCCTGAAAAGATTGTACCCGCCTAGCATTGAAGAGCTCAAGCATACAAATCTTCCGAAGTTCCCTCCAACGTTCACCGTACGGTGAAAGATTTAGGTCCACGAAGTTGTAGGAAAATCTTCTATTGCCCGTTAAGAGAGGGCGGCTGCAAGAAGCAAGGTCATGAAATTTAAACAACTCTCTTGCAGCAGCGGCAGAGGAGATTACGATGGTTGGGACAGAGCCCAATTGGAGGAGCATGACGGGGCCATATTTTTTTGAAAGCTGAGAGAGAGAGCGATGAGGGAGGGAGCCAATGAGGTGCAAATGACCCAACAAAGGAAGCTTTGGAGGGGTGGGAGGAAGAAGCTTGTTGTTGGGGTTTGCCTGTTTTCTTATGATTTTAAGAAGCAATAGAGAAGAACAGAGGAAAAACAGAGGAACCCAGATGAAAAAACCATTAGTAGGCATCATTGCATCAACTCTAAGCATTTCCAAGCTCTATTTTGGGAGATAAAGAGAGAGATAGGGCAGAATGTGGAAGAATACCAAGAGGGCAAGGTTTATAAAGTTTTCCATGGGATGATCTATAAAATTTCATATCAAATTTTAAATTTTGTGTATTTACAAAAGTGTTCATCAACATTCATATATTTTTGACACATCCATTGGTATTAATGATGCGAGTATCTTCCCCACAAACGGACACAAATGGCTTTTTCAAATGGGTTATAAGTTTTTAATTGCTGTTCATCTTTAAAAGAATGGTTGGTATATTTTAGTATATTTTACCTAATTTCTGTTATCGATCAATTGTAATTAAGGTCAGTCATCATATGGCTATAAGTTTGATCGTTCTAGTCTTATTACAATCTCAAGTGAACATACAAAGAGATCAAACAAAAAAAAAATTATTTTTAACATCTAAAGCAAGGTTGTCAATCTATGGAAATGACCCAAAAATAGCACAAGTTAAATCATTTCTAAGTGTTTTTTAAGAAATAGGTTTGTCTCAATTTCATCAGGTTTAAACATTCTATCACAAAACTATGGAAAAACCTTGGATGTAACTTATTTTTGTCATCTAATGCTTTACATGGCTCCAATAAGATTTTTTTTTTTTTGTTCAGATTTAGATATAAGCTTTTTTTTTTTTTTTTTGTACTAAATTTAGTGTTAGCCCAATCTCTAGTGATTATAGTACGTAACAAAAATGAGAAAGATGCTTTTGTGAATTACCTAATGGCACTCGATTAAGAAACGAAAAAAGTCACTAATGGTACCCCTCTAGTGGCCCAAAAATGGCATGTGAGCTAAACTACTTTAGAGTTTTTTCTAATGAAGATATGTGTCAATTTCATCTCGCTTAGATATTCCTTACAAAATTGTCAAAAAAATATTCACCATAGCTTAGGTTTTTAACCTAATGCTTCAAATTCTCTAAAAGGAGGTGAAACCAATTATAGATATTTTTCTATTGAACGTACGTGTCAACTTCATTAAATATGCCTCTTAAAGACGAATATCATATTTTAATCACAAATTCGAGCCTCCTTTCTTGGAGACTTGGACAAGCTCTAACTTTTTGGGGGCTCCATGCCATGTTTACATGTATGTACATCGTCGAATCCATTAGAGCTTTCTAGAGAGGTTGGGTTATATTTATACTATTGAAATAGAGGTACATAGTTTGTAACAGTCCAAGTGGGGTAGATTGTCAGTTGGAGAGAAAAATAAAACATTTCTCATAAGAGTGCGAAAACTTCTCTCTAACAAATGCATTTTAAAAACCGTGAAGCTAATGACGATACGTAACGAGCCAAAGCGGACAATATTTATTAGCGGTGGACTTGGGATGTTAGAGATTTATGAAATCCTACTAGGGCATTTGAAACATTAGATTAAAAAAACTAAGTGACGACTATTGTTTTTCAACAATTTTACGAAGAAGGTTCAAATTTGATTAAATTGGCACTCATGTTTACAATAGAAAAATATCTCAAAATGGGATTGCTCTCGGGCTATTTCAAAATGGGAGTGCGGTTAAGATGTCAAGAAAAACTTCTTTCTCATTTTAATTTTTTAGTATGTTCACTAGAGATCGAATCTACCATAGACAAATGCCTGGAAAGAATGTCTTTGAAGAGAATTCAATCAAATCACGAGTTTCTGGTGCTTCATCTTGTCAAAGAGGAGAAACATTGATGAATTTTAAACGACTAGTAATTGTTCTAGTATATATTGTATGAGTATGTCTAGAAAGGTATAAAAATGTCGAAGTCTAAAATTTATGGAAATAGCGACCGAAATTAAGAAACATCACGAAAATCATAGAAAGTAAAATGGTTTGAATTAATTGTAGTTTGAATTGGTTGTTGTGAGTAACTATGTAGAAGTAAAAAATAAACATAATTTCTAAATGTCATGATTTTTAGGGCATTTATACAACCCATAGCTCTAACTACAACAATACTTCATTAAAATCACATCACGATTACAAATTCAAATGAAATAACGAAACAAACCAATAAACAATCATTTCTAAACGGAGCTAATTAATCTTCAATTTTCACAAGTAAAGTATTCTTCAGTGTCTCGATCTCTTAAAATATGTTTGAATAAAAATGAGTACGTGATCCAAAACACCATCAAAATGAGCATAGCTCAGCATAATCCATATTTGTTGTATTAAAAAAATCACCATCCAAAAAATCATTCTCTCCCTCACTTTAAACACTAATTCCATTAAAAATCAAAACCCATGTCAACAAATTGGTTGAATATCTAATGTATTAAATATTTGTTGTCATATCAGACGGATTTTCATTGACATTTTTATGGTTAACTTAAAAAAAACTTGACAAGGTAATGTGAAACAGGATGAGGAGAACAATTTCTAGTTAAAAATGAGGTACTTTTATAATTTCTTTCTCATCTATTCAACTCGAAAATACCACTTTCATTGTATCATCTCAAATAATGAAGCTACATAGGTTGACTATAACAAGAGTATTAAGTCGATCGATATTACATGGTAAAATAATAGAAATGACCATAATATTTACGTTCTAAATTAACTTTCCAACTGCTCGGAAGGATTAGGAACCAAAATAAAATCAAATGAAAAAAAAAAAAAGCTTAGAAAAGAAAAGGAATAAGTGAATGAAGATCATACATGGATATCCATTCAAACGCTGTGAGTAGACAAACAACTCTGCTGCTAATGTCTCCCAAACCCCACAAACTCACTCTCTTCCAGACATATTTTATGATAATCTGTGGTATCAAAACTTGCAAAAATTGTATAGTAATAGCTACAAGTTTTGTGATATCCATTATTCAACAAGCACATTGTTTTAATATTCATAATCCTACCATTAAGTGTCGTATTAGAATTGGTTTTGGCTCTAAAAGTGCTCAGTTTTTCATTTGTGGCCTTGTCATTTGTGAGGTGGATAGCATTTAACAACAAAGAGTAGATATCTATTCTAATATTCACCCACACCTTATGCACTAAAATCTCCACCATCATCTCATAATTATCTTTTATGTCATAAATACTTTTAGTCTCATATTATCCTAAATACATTTATTTATTACAACTCAATTTCAATATATATCCTATATAATTATAGTAAGAAAAAAATTTATTTTTTAAAATTAATAATAAACTTAAGTTAATTCCGTTCATTTCATTCAAATTTTAGGATAACTCATAAACTAATCTTATTGTTCACTTGATAAAAAAAAAAATTCATAAAACACAAAACCCATTTTTGGATATCATTTTTTTTATAAACCGAGGGAAAAGGGGAGATATTTTGTAGAAACAAATTCATGATTATATATATATATATATATATGGAATTAAAAAATAATAATAATTCTAGGTGAAAGAAAGGTATAATGGGAAATTTGTAAAGACTAAATAATCAAACGATTGTTTCCAACTTTTGAAAAGGTTTAAAATATTGCGTTTACGTGGAGAATCGACTCTGTCAAATAAATTAAAGAGTTTCAAATATTTAATTATTGTGTCTATAATGCTTGGAAAAAGGTCAGTATTGTAATTGTCAAACTCATGTTTTCTTTATTATTAAAAATGGAAAAAAAATAGTAAAAAAATTTGGGATTTAAAAGGCCAGAAAGGGACACCAAGATCGTGTAATCCAGACGAATGGCACCCATTTTCCAACCCTAACGAAATAGTTCTTCTGGAATCCAATGAACAACAACGATTACTTAGGATTAGTTTGCGAATTTGTAGCACTGTAGTCGAATCATTACCAATGGCGCACTATGCGCCTAAGTGCGAAAAGACAGTGCAAGCTTTGTTAGGCCGAAACTTAATAAATAAATTTGCAATCTTTTAATTCTTCCTTATTTACTTTAGATTGGAATTTTACTCAAAATTTTGGATTTTTCAATTATAACCACAATAATATGATGGCTTTTGTACCATAAACACTCCTAATCTATTTTCTAGAAATATGTGGTTTTTTTTGTATAAAAAAAAAATTTAATAAAAATAATCGTTCGATTCAAGAATTTGGAATTCGGAGGACATTTCTGTAAAATGCATAATGTAAAACAAATACAATAATAACCCGAGCTAGGAGAACGAAGAGATAAGAGGGCCTATGGAGAATATGGTAAAAAATTCATAATAGAGTCCAACAACAGCTACCGAACCGAATATCTTCGTGCATAAGAATACAACACTTAGTAGCCTCAACTGTATCCAAAAACCAATATATTTTAGCATGTTTTTTTTGGAAATTTAACATGATTAATTTGAAGTTCTTATGAAAATTTTTGAAGTCTTTGATTTAAATGTGATATTAAAATATAATCGATGAGGTGTATGGTTTTGTTTTGTATTTGTGAAGGACAGCACTTCAAATTGGTGGCACTAATACTTAACTTTACACATGTGAAAACCATATTCTCTTGTAATTGTGTATGAATTTTTTTATGATCCTTCAACCAATTTGCTTTCTCCCTTGTGTGTTTGAGCTTAGTGGAGACCCTAGAGTTTGCTTATTCCGCCATGGAAAACACTTCTATAAAAACCACATTTACTTGAGCTTTTCATATGAGTTCAACTACATAGAGCTGAAGAACACAAGAAGAGAAGGAGAAAAGGGTTTTGAAATGGAGGGTTTTGCCAGGCTTTTTGGATTGGCTAAGCCTTATTTGGTGGTCGTTTTTGTGCAGTTTGGTTATGCTGGAATGACGATTCTTGCTAAGTCTGCCTTGGACAAAGGGATGAGCCCACATGTTTTCGTCGTTTATCGTCATGCGGTTGCTACTCTTGTTATTGCTCCTTTTGCCCTTATCTTTAACAGGTTCGGAACGATATATAGTCTTCCATTATAGTTTACCATAGATACTGTATTTGACCACTAGTACCAGTATTTTATTATATGCAAATATCTTGTATCTATTTATTATTTTTTTTTCATTTACCGTTCTTTCCTTTATAAATTATTTGATGATTATAAATAGAGAATTTTACACAATTTAAGTGGGTGGTTTCAACAAATATTCTCATCAATAAACTAGCCAAGCTAGCTATCAGTGTTGTACCGTTATGAAATGACGATAATATTCAATAATTATTTTTTTCTCTGTTCCTCGTTATAGAAAGTTGATTTTTTAGTTTTGCGTGTAGGAAGGCGAGGACGAA